TTCGAAGTATTTTCCAAAATTAATGTAATATTTCTGAAACATTTTTATAATTTTTTTTAATTTTAATAACATTTCTGGATCATTTTCGAAAAAATTTGAAAATTTTTGTGACAAACTTTTGAAARTTTTCGAAATATTATAAAAAATTGTAAACACTTCCGTAATTTCGTAGATACTTTAGAAATATTTTCTAAATGTTTTTACAATAATTTTAAATAATTTAGTTGATAAGTTTTGGAAATTATTTTTAAATGTTTTTTGTTTTTTTTTTTAATATTTTAGTAAATTTTTGGATATTTTTAAATAAATTTCCAAATGTTTTCAGAAAAAGTTTGAACAATTTATTTGACAAGATTTCGAAAATATTAAAGAAAATCTAAAGATTTTTTGAATAAATTCGAAAAATATTTATAAAATTGCTGAGAAATTTTCGAAATTTTTTGTAAACATTTTTGAAGCTTCCTAGGAACATTTGCGAAATCATTTTTAAATTTTTTTCTTTGATAAACACACTTTTCAAACAAATAGCTGGTAAGGGCGCATGCAAACAACAACATAAAAATATGTTGTACAAATAATAGACACTTAAAGGCGGCACTAGCGGAGGTTTTTATCTGGTATTTAGAGACTTTCGTGACAGGTTAAAGCAGTTCAATGGCTTAAATAAATTTTTTCAAGCATAATCTTTGCAAAAAGAAAATATGTGTAAAATTCTCAAGTAAATTTAGCCACTAATTTGTAAACTAGAAATGCATTTCATTTAAATTAATTTCATAAGCTAAATTATGTTTACTTTTTTATATGGAAATCGCAAGGCCACGCTTAACTGTAGACATTTATAAAACAAGAATTTAAATAAAAGAAAGAAAGAAGAATCATGAAATAAATATTTTTCTGCTCTCAAGTTTACAGCAAAGATTTACATTTTAAGAATTCATAAAATAAACATTTCATGCATTTTTAAAAGTACGCAATTTGGAGACCTACTTAAAGCTATAAAATAAATTCATTTTTTTTTTTTTTTTTTTTTAAATATACTTAGATTTATTGAAAAATTTTAACAGCCAATTTTATATTTTTACGTCAAATTTATCGACACTTGAACAAGGCAATTTATATATACATAAAATACATACATGCCAGCTATGCGCAAGACCGTTATGCCATAGCAAATAAATAAATTCGCACTTAGAAAACTTAAGTTAATCGCCTTACAAGTCCATACATATATATGCATGTACATATGTAAAAATTTACAATTTTCGCAAAATAAAAAATCAGAAATTTCAACAACTCTAAGCTTTCAATACTCTTGTACACACAAATGTACATACATATAATAATAAGCATAAATACATAAATATGTATATACATACTGGTACATAAATAACGGCAGATTGTCGCCTTATTTGCATACGATTGGAGAAATCGCAAAACTCACCTGCTTCAGCAATAAATCACTATTCGCCGAGAGACATGTCACCAAATATTTGGTTAAATTCAGAAATGAACCCAAAACTTCCAGCGTCAAGTGTTCGCGCGACGAACGCTGCAACATAAACGAGATGACTAGGAATCCACGATTCTGTATCATATGTTGTTGTACGGTTTGTGATGTTTCGACTAATTCACAAATGAAACCCAAAAGTTTGGAACTGCAAAAAGAAGTGTGAAAGCGTTGACAGGGGATGTATTAGAAAAGTTCTGATTGAGGTTACAGTTATAACAAAGTCTATTTCAATAAAAGTTAGAAGATCTTAATGAACTCTTATAATTTCTATTTCAATAAAATTTCCAAGTAAATTATTATATTCTTATATATTTGATCTGAATATAATACTCTATACTATTTCTTATTTTAATTTCATATTTTCAGCTTACTCACCATAACGTCGGATCGCGTTTTATATCGCTTATGCCCTCATGCGCCATATCCAGTTGCGAGAATAACGGAAACAGCACTTGAATGCCACCAATGGAATTTAATGTACAGTGTATTGAGTGTGTAACGACGGCTTTAACGTCCTGCAGAAATGGAATTTAAGAAGAAAGGATTACACAGATTTCGGTAAGTACAACATGATATGAATTTTTATATRCATACATACATACTAAATTAAATTTCTATAATATATAAAGAAAGAAAATGCATTAGGCGCTAAACTTGTTACAATATCAGATGAATATTTCAGAAATCAGTTTTATTTTCTTTGCAACATTTGGCAATACGCATGTCATACTTCGAACTTCAATCTGTAGCACATATGTATGTATGCGTATGTTAGCAAGAATATATGTAAATATGTGCCAGAATGTTTGGGTGTCGTCTTTACGGGAGACATTGTATGCGTATACAGTACATACCTACTCGTATGCTTTCAAATACATATATAAACGATCTATTGAAAGTAAGTGTTTGATATTTATAAAAGTCTCGATTTCTTTCCCATTAAAAATCAATAATTGAATACAAATTTTGTGCTAAGAAGCGAATAGGGCTATATGATATCAAATTCCTACACATATCCATGTGGACAGGCTCTTACAATATCAAAAGAATTGAAACACATGTGCTTATTTATACATATGTATATTTTTATCTACGCATATCATTATAATTATGGTAGAAACTCCCCTCTGCTTTTATAAAGTATGAAACGTCAAAATTGAAATCGCAGCTTGAATTTCATTTATTATCCGGAGATTAGGGAAAATTGTTAGAGTGACTGATATTTTTTATTTATTTTTGTCTTACATATTTTTTTCTTATATGCTTTTCTAGATATATCAGATTTACTCCCTGCTTTAGACCAATCGCTGAGTTAAATTCCAATGAAGGGCGTAGAAGGGAAGCAACTGCTTACAAAGCTTTAAAAACTGACAAAATTTATTCGAAGGCTGGTCTAGCGTTCTATCTTCTTCCGCATACAGCTCTTTATTCAACTAACATTTCTTAAGCTGGCAAAGTTCCTAGAGTTCCGTATTTCTTACCAGGCGCTATCATTTAGAGCTTGATTTATTTCTAATTTGCTTTAGCTCGATTAGCAAAGAAAGACAAAAAGTCTGAAAGCCTTCGTATGAAATCGAAAATACTAGATTGATGCAGAACTATCAAGAATCGCAGGTTGTTTTTGTTGGAACGGCAAGAACACATTTCAAAAATATTCTTGAAGAAACTTGTCGAAGTGAGATGAATGATTTTAAGCGTATAAAATTTGGGGATTTCTTCAGTTCAGAAACGTAGATCGAATGCGTTAGTTAGGCAGAATTGTTCTAAGAATAGATACTTCTTATTATGCTCTGTGACATGATGTAAGGTTTCATTCTAAGGTCTTTAAGAACTGTTAAAATTTTATGAAGATATAGTGAAATCAATCAAAACAAGTTTTCTAACATATAGAGAGAACTGAATACCGGTTTTACAAACAATCATGCAATAACCGAAATGAGGGAAAGAAACCGCGGAGACTCGGAGAAAGGACTTTAAGCCGACTTGAAGCCGAAAGATATCATCGTAAATCATATATTCTAGATTTGTCCACTATATCAAACCACTGTCAAACAAATTTACGATCGGAAACAAGTCTTTGTATTGGAAAATTTTTTATTTGAAGTGATATCTTCACAAAATTTGCCATGGAATATTTGCTAACATAACACTACCGTATTCCAAACAAGTTTTTTAATCGGATTACTATAGCAGATAGCTGCCATACAAGCTGAACGATCAAATGTATGGAAAACTTTTACATTTGTTGGGTTATCTTCATGAAATTTCGCACGAATATGTCTCAGAGATATTGTTATAATAGCCGAACATATTTTGCATATCGGTCCACTATAACATATCGCTGCTGTACAAATTAACCGATCGATAAAGTTTTTGTTGTTAGACATCTTAATTTTTGAAAAGAAGTTATTTTCGCTGCAGACAAAGTTAGCGTTATTTCTGGTGTTCCTTTCGTTCGGCGTAAATTTTCTAAACTACTTATTATATAGAATAGTCTTATATACGTGAATGGCATATACATATATAAATAACATAAAAATAGCATTGTTTTTGGCATTTTGCTCGACTCACCTGTAACATAAGTGCATGCGGTGTATGTACAAAGTATGAAACATTCCCTTTCGGTGCGGATTGTAGACACAGCTGGCCATCGGTTGCCACTGGATTGTACATGAAGACGATGGCGTTTGACAATTTGCCATCATAAAGTACCTGCAGCGCCAATATATGCATGTAGACGTGTGTATGTGTGTGTTTCGTTACGTTGTACACATAAGCGCATAAGAGGGTTGCCACAGCGTTGCGAAAATAATTGAAAATAATTTGAGAAAGGAAGAAATTAGTAAAAAATTTGATAGAAATATGTGTGCTTATGTTGCATGTATGTATATACACAAATGTTTTTACACATGTACATATGTATGTATGTATGTATGTAAGTAAGTAAATATGCGTTTTTGCGGTAGAAGGACACAAATCGTTGGACGTTTAGGCGGAAAAATGACGGTGCGCTTGCGAATTGGTGCGGCTCAGCTCGATTTGCTGCTCAATTTTGTTTTAGTTTTTTGTTTTCTTTCTGTTTACTGTTATTATTATTAGTTTTTGTTTTTGTTGTTTTGACACTGCTGTACAGTTGCATTGATTATGTGTGTTGTCACTTAACATTTACTTTGCTGAGGAAAACACATTTGATATCGTTTGGTAATTAAAAAACAAAAAAACAAAAATAACAAAATCAAATGAGAATAACTATAAAAGAATTGAATGAAATAACTGTGTACACATAATAAATTAAGGCTGCTGGCGTGGTGAAAAGCTTACTATTTGCGAAGAAAGCACAAATTGCAAAAACAAAATTTCATTTTATTACAAGTGCGTGTGTAACGGTAAATAATTGAAATTTACACTACATAAACAATTTAATGTCAAATTATGAACTGCGCTATCATAACTTTCACGCAGTTATAATAAAATATGCAACAAAAAATTACGAAAAAAATTTTACTGACTCTTGCGTTGGCCGTACAATAACAATAATAATAAAATTTTACACATTCACGCCACCTTCAGCGAGCGGGTGGCTTTTATGACTATATTTTGCATAGAAAAAATTTGCCAGTAAATATGTCATTAATGTCAGCAGGCGTTGTCGTATGCATACAAAATTATTTAAAAATTGTTTACGCTTTTTTGGCAACGCGCTGTGTGCACTGGGTCTCAATTGAAGACAATTATTTGTCAACTGAAAAATAAATTCCTCACTGCCATATACATATATATATCATACATTTTTTTCGGACTTCATAAAATAATATAGCATAAATAAATTTCAAGAAAAAAAATAATAATGAAAATAAAAGTGAAATGGCTTTTCCTGTTAAATGTAAACTATTTGAGGAATTTAAAAATATGTACCTGCTGTGTATCACAACAAAAATTATTTCGCTATTTACAGAAACTTCATATAAGCAAATATTCTCTAATACGGCTAAAAATATCTTCCGAGCTGGTGCATGGATTAGACCTTTCTCTACCAAACATTAACTGCACAAATCGTGAATATTATGTACAATTTCTTGACATTTCAGGCCTATAAAAAATGTATAACGATTTGATCTATCTTGTCGACGAGTACTCATTAAAACCACGTAGGAAAATGCGTTTAAGAATAAACTGTCAGAGCTGATTAATAAGCAGTTTATAGCTTTATCGATATATTGAGAAATTAACTTCTATTTCACACTAAGCGCGCTTCATAAACACCAGAATGGGAACACACAATGTACCAGACTGAAACACACAATTTTTTTAAAGCAAATTTGCAAAAAAGTTTCCAGCAAGAACTCCTTATTGACCGTACGTCCTTCTGTGACAAATTAGTGATGCACCAAATCACGAATATCGTAAAAACCGTCGAGCAACATCTCGATTTTTGAGCGATTTTGGCGCGTTTTTTTGGTTTCGTCTACTTGTTTCTCCATTTCGATGATTGTTGACTTGGTTGGCTATCAAACTCATAAAGCCATGTCTCATCGGTAGTTACAATGCTCTCCAAGAGTGTGGGATCCGAATTCGCAAGCTATAACACTTTATTTATATATCCAGATACTCTCTTGCGCGAATTCAACTCGGTAACGTTGCTGTTGCTTTTACTTGTTTTTTGACAAGAGGGCAGATCAAGTAGAGGAACGGTGAATCGAAGATAGCTTTGTTAAAATAATATAAATTAGATGATTCTGGAATATGGTGTAAAATTACTCTGGCACACTTACACTCAGAGTAAGGGGCGCGAGTTTTACTCTGAGTAAATATTCGGCGAAGACCTCATTTACAAGTATGATGTCTGTTCAATTCCCTGACTATCTATTGTCATTGATAATATTTAATAATAAAAAATTGGTTAATATTTAAAAAATCCAACCGTAAGGCTAGAAAAAGGATTAAACGAAAGGATAAACGAAGGATCCGATAGAAAATGCAAAGTTCTTGAAATGTTTTTTTTTTGTTTTTTTTTTTTTTTGAAACTACATTATATTCCTTGATTGTTAAAAATATCGCAATTGAGGCCTATATTTTGACCAAATTACCTTTGGAACTTAATTTAAATACTTCAAATTAATTTCTATAAATATCTTATGTATTTTTTATAAATGTTAGAGTAAAATATGTAAGCTGTGATTACCAAACTTGAATGGAAGGCCCCAATACACCGAAGTTTCGAACTCATTTATGCATTTACTCGAATATAACAGCTCTAGACAAAACCAGGTCGCATTTCTACTTCTATTTTTAATGAAATGATGATTTTGATGATATATGAATTATGAATATGGGTCTGAGAAAATTTGAAGTGACTTTAAATGGTTGATGGCTATGAGCTTATGAGAAATTTTCTTGATGCAGAAATATGCTCGAGTGCTTGCCAATAACTGCCTAGTAGTAATTGGAAATATAGTTGTCTGCTTGCCGCGTTAGGGATGAAAATATGGTATGTAGAGTGATAGCAGTTTTTCTATGGTGGAACCTAATTTTCGAACATAACCTAAAAGTTAAAATGTTTGTATTTATACATATAAAGGATTTTCTGATATAACGATAAATATAAGAGAGTGTCTATTTGAATATGGAAAAAATAGCTTTAATAATATTTAAGTTTTTTGGGGTTATCTTTCAGTAGTTTCGACTGTAGTTGGCCAGTAAACGATTTTACACTGATAAAAAATTGTACATGTATGCACACAAAAATAATACTTCATGCAGTTGATGCCATGCATGTCATAAGCTGCCAATAAAGCTGACTGCTTGTTGCGCTTACTATTTTGTTTTAAAACACTCGAAAATGAACGCAGCAGCCACTTGCCATACAAGTAAATACATATATATAAGTATAAGCATACATACGCATGTTTACGATATGTACACGGGTAATCGATAAGCCGCTTTCTTCAAATTCTGCTGCTGCTATTGAAGTTCCTCATCATTTCACGCTGGACTAAGTATAATGCTTGCAGTAAGCCCCAGCTAGCATTATTAGACCAGAAATAGCTGCAGCCGGAACAAAGCACGGCAAATTATGAGGCAAAACAACGGTACAGCGCCGGCAATAAGTGGCAGGCAGAGTCTGTGGCAATGTGCTGAAAGTGAAAAAGCTGCAAAGCACTCAAGTGCTTAATTGCTTTCGAGTGCATAATCGATGCAAGAGCATGTTAATTGTATTCATATTAATACACAAATCCCTAAACGGTAAGGTGGACACATATACATGTAATTGTGTGTGTGACCATGTATTTATGTATATTGCAAATACAAAATGCACATTAATAATTGCCAGCTTAACTGCTTAATATGGAATGTTGAGCTGAAAAATGCTTCGAATTCTATAGAGAAATTGTTGAGAATATTAAAAAAAATTGCAAATACAATGAAATTGCACAAAAACAACAAAAAAGCGCTGCTGAAACGAAAATAGAGCCGTAGCGTGTTCTACACTACATTCGCATTAAATTAATTTCACCCCGAAAGTTACTAAAAACTAAAGTTTCGCACTCACAGCGCACACTGCGCCTATGCCCCCTGAAGTATGCTAACAATTTCCGCTGAAATGCCACTGAATACAGCTATGCAGACACAGTGGCACGCCTACAAGACGCTCCAGGTAGGCGCGCAGGTCTCAAAGGCCAAGTGAAGGACGTAACTTTTTGCAGTTGCTGTTGCAGGCAAAGCTTGCAACGCGTGGCGCATTCAAGTGGCAGCACAACACACGCGGGAGTTAAGGCCTTGGCGCTTGCGTCAGTGTAATACAAATACGTTTACAATGCTCAAGTGAATTACTCAATATTTCAGCTATACATATGTGTTAGTGCATGTGTGTGTGTTTGCGATTGAGCGGCATGATGATGTGGAAAAGCGGCAGTACGCTGCGCTGCGCCGCCTTGCAACTCAATTAATTGCGAGCGCGTGAATTTCATGCTCTAATAATTTCAATAATTGAAAGAAGTGTGAGTGGAATATCGCATCCATGTGTTTGTATTTGCGCTTGCAGACACATGCAGCAGGCACACGTGTGCGCTTGGAGGCGCCCATTTGCACTTGAGCTGCTGCGAAGCATTGAAAAAGTCGATTTCTCACATTGAAAGTTATTTGTTGCAATAAGCGTTTGCTTAGAGTTTTGCACACGATTTTGCTTTTACACAACATTTGCACACATTTTCTCTTTATGCCGCTTGCCTTCTTTCTATGCATCTGTTCATTCATGTTGCTTCAGGGATACGGTTATGTTAAACTTTTAATTGCTTCGCCTCTTGAGGTGCATGCATGATTTTTGCAAAGCTTTTCGTTTGCCTTGCAACTGCAACAACAATGTGGTGGGTGTAAAGAAATTGTCTGTGAAAATGAAATTCACTGGCGGGGTTTGCATTTCAGAACTTTTTGCTTAGATCCGTAGTTCTCACTTTTAAAGTTTGATTTCAAAAAAAAAATAATTTTTCTTCTAGAACATGTTTAGTACTATTTTCAAGTTAACTTTTCGTATTTGCCGTTTTTGTTTCAATGTAAAGCATAATTTTTCGTTTTAGATCTTTTAAGTAAGGAACATTTTTCGAATTAATTTCATTTAAAACTTGAAATCTAGATTTGTTAAATTTCCTTCCTACCTTTCTTAACATGTTCGTTTAAAAAGTGGTTTTATAAATACAAAATAAGTAGAATATTAAATACAACCCTGTCAATATTAAAGCGATAGAACCTAGGAGTGCGCTATTGCCGTTATTAAACAGAGTCGGGAATAAGTTTTTAATAAGTCTATCTACTCTATCTAGCCATTGCTCTTAACTATTGGAGCTGTACCCTTCCATTCTATGAAGATTTTACGGCAGGATCTGGGTTTTTGGGCTGTCAAAGTGCCATCTCGAGTTGGCTTAAGATGACCGTCAAGTGCGTAGACCGTACAGTAAAAGGACTCAAAACGAGAGGGTTACCAAACCCGATTTTCGTAACAGAACTGTGTTCAGCGATGAAACTCACTTTTGGTGGAATGTGTACGTTAACCGTTAACCGGTAAGGCGCCTATCGGCCAAAAAACGTTGCGCAAGGGCGGCATTCACCGTCCGCGCGGTATCCTTGAGATACTGAAAGCTTGCTTTACATTACAGGCAGCATGCAAGAGATAACGAAATAAGATACAATTCCTGGCTGCCGACTACAGTCGACGTTCGCACCGAAATGGTTAATTAACAAAATTGTCGAATTTGGTGTGAGGCTCAATTATAGCCTCAAATAGTCATTGTTTTGTGTGCTTTATGGACAGAGGGAGACGCTGGTCCTTATTTCTCCAAAAATGTAGCCGGTCATAGTATTGCAGTGGGGATTATTTTACAGTCATGATTAATGATTCTTTCTTGTCTAAATTGAACTGATTGATTTGTATGACCATTGATTCCATAAAAACGGCGCTACATGGCATACGAGACAAACAATTTATTGAAGGATATTTTTGGTGAGATCGTTATGTGAAGTTGCTTGTCTTCGTAGAAGAGTCCGAGACGATGAACACCCCGAAAGAGAATATTTAGCGCGTTATTTCTGAAATACGTCCGCAATTGCTACAGAAAGTATTCAAAAATAGGGTCCTTAGGCTGATCTATTCAACCCTGCCGCGACGGTTACTTACCCGGAGTCATTTTCGTATTAAAATATAATGCCGTACCTGTATCATTGCAACAAAAAAATTAATTCTTGTCTTCGGTCGGCTAAACCACACACTTTACACAACTTACTTCTCTTATAACAATTTTAAATTTCATCTGTGTCCCTCACTTTCCAGTATAAAAATTATGCAGCAACGATGTATGAGACAAAACTATGCACAAATACAGCCTTTGAAGTGTGCCAGATTATGACGAAATATCGTCTAAATCGGACCAAAGGTGTTCAAAGTCCCAGTTACCGAATATATGGACCAAAGTTCCTATTACTTTTATCAGTTTATTTTAATTGAATCTGTGCGATATATTATAAAAACCCAGAAAGAAATATTTTCTGATAATAATAAGCGAGTGTACTAAATATTGGTTTCGAAACAATAATTCGTTGGGTTCTCATATACTTAATAGAAATACTTTCGAACTTCTCACAGACGTTTTACCGCGAATATCGATCAATATGTCCGTTATCTTAATGAAATTGAAAGAACGTGTTTTTCTATAGAAAATATATCTTTGTGCATAAAATGACTAAAATATTGCGAAAACTTGCTCGAGCCGCTAAATATTTAATATTAGGACTTAAAAACAGCGGGTTGACTTTATGCCACTGAAAAAAACCGAGAGAGCATATGTTTCTAATATTAATATATGGTATACGATAATATATAAAAAAGGGGAAAATTTGCTCCTATCTATCATATATACACCTAATAGAGGAATAAAACGTTTTCACAATGGATGCTGAATTCTTTCCCAACAATGTCAACATTTTTTTCCCAATTGTTTTTCTCAATCCTGAAGGTATTTCCGGCCTTGTTTTTTCAAAGTTGCAAGCGTATGAAATGTTCGTCCTTCAATTTACAATGATCTGCCTTTCTAAGGGAGAAACCTTAAACTCCTCGCTTAAGACGAGGGACTCACGTAAAAGATGAATTTAGAAGACAAAATAAGACGAGTTCCATCAGATATAAGTAGCAACGAACGTAATTGAATGAATTAAGATTGATTGCAAATAATTCATACTGTTAGACTTTGATAAAAGTGTTGAGGAGCTTCAAATTAAAATTTAAAATAAATTTTGTAGTAAAACTTTGAATAAATCTTGGAAATAAGCACATTGTAAGCTGCTTAAAAGTTGATTTGATATTTAAAAGCTTTTATCGGCTGCTTGCACTTTATACACCTCAGAGCAATTTGAGCTAATCAAAAATGGAATGAAATGTTTTTTACTTTACAAAGCATTGGAAAAGTGGTAATAAAAAACAAATATTGAAATTAACAAATAAATACTATACAATTACAATTTTTTCATAATTTTTTTTTTTTTTTTTTTTTTTTTTTTTTTTTTTTTTTTTTTTTTTTTTTTTTTTTTTTTTTTTTTTAAGCGAAAGCATTGTGTGGAATTCGAGTTGAAAAAAAAAAGATTTTAATTTACAAACTGAAAATCCTGAACAAACAACTCATTATCGATCTTTAAATTCTAAAAATAATCTTTAAAACTTTACAACAGGCAACTCAATCGAATATTTAAGCGCAAACTCAAAAATTTTAACTTTAAAGCTACACAAACACACCAGACTGTGCTGTACAAATCGACAGTTTCCTAATAAGCGTTTGCGAAAAATAAAACAGTGAACTTTTTTTGCGAAGAAAAACTCACATATATACAGAACATAAGAAATGAATATGTAAGAAAAGAAGAATGTAAAAATATAAAATGCTTACAGCTTTAAGCTGAGTAATTTCTTCGGTCTGACTGGTGTATCCTCTCAAAAGCTCCAAACCGGAGGCGGAAGTCGACGAAATGCGACGCAATTGCTCTACAAAAAAGAAAAAGATCACATGCAATAAAAAAAAAAAATCCAAAAAATTATGTAAATAAAAAGAAAGAAAATGTCATAAAATTAAGTAGAAATCACTATGCACAAACAAAGAATGGAAAATAAGGCAACAATAAAAGTATAAACAAATAAATTGAAACAAATAAATACCAAAGGATGTATTTCCGGTTGGCAAATGACACAAAGGATCTGTGATGATTTTGTTGTTGTCACTAGCGCCCGCAGCGCCGCCAAATTGATTGTTGTTTGCATTCGCCGCTGTATTATTTCCGCCAGCGCTGTTGGAGTTCGCCRCCGCCGCCGTCGGCTGTGCGGCGCCTGTGCTGGCCGTGGCCGTTGCGCCACCGGATGTCTGATCGACAACCACGACACCGCTCAGCGCATTGAGCACCGCATTGGCCGAGGCGTTGCGTGCTGAGAGCACAGCACGCACTTTCGCAAAGGCCGCACTCAAATCGAGCTTCTCATCGGCCCAGTCGATGGCTTGCGCCTCTTGTTCAGCGAGCAGCACCGTCGTCGATATATTGTTATTGTTGCTGTTGTTGTTGTTGTTCTGACTCACCCGTTTGTGATTGTCCGGCAGGTTCAGATAGCACTCGTTGTCGAAGCGGAATTGTGACTGTGTGTGCGTTGCGTTGTTGATGGAATTTCGAAATGCGAAATAGAAATTTCGAAGATGAGAAATTTTCAAATTTTATTAGCATTATGTCAGCAATTAGTATAATTTTTTTGTGTGTTTTATAGTTCGTACAATTTAGAAATTAAAATATTTTTGTGGAAATTTTAATTTAAATTTTTTTTGTACAATTTATACAGTTAGCAGTACACATTTTAGCGTTGTTATTATATTTGCGTTTTGTTTTTTGTTAGTAATTTTTTTTTTGTGTGGGCATGTGCAGGTGAAGCATGTTGAGCGAGTAAGTGTAGCGCGTAAAGAGAAGAAGAAAAAAAACAAAGTGACATTGGTGAGTTTATTTTGCTTTGTAGTTGTGTTGTCGTTTATATAAATTTGCAATAAAACTGAGAATAATAAAGATTACCGACCAAATACTAAGCGTAAGAGCCCAGTGTAGTTAAAAAGATATTATTTCTTAGTTTTGTTTATTTTTTTTTTAATTTTGATCTAAATTTTTTATTTGAATAATTTTTTATTTACCTAAAAATTTTAGTACGATTTTTTTTTGTAACATTTTAAAAGGAAAAAGATTTTGAGTTATGAAATATTTTTTTTCTTTTTTCATTATAGGTACTGAAAGCTAT